GGAGGGGAGGGGAGGAGGGGCTATTTGGGTGCAGCAGAGACAGGTCTGACGACAAATTACAGTGTGTAAGGAGAAGTAAAAGTAAGATTCCGAGCCATGGCGATTAGGGGGAGGAGGCGTCATTGCCTGAAATTGCCACCATGGGGAAGCCCTTCCCTGTGTATCCACAGAAGCAGTCCTCGGTCTTTTTGGATCGCTGCTGCCTTGGAAATCTCCCTGTCAGGATGTGTACTTGCACACCCATGTGGGCCCTTCATGCTACCAGCACCTAATCGCAGTCCCCCATGAGCCCCAGGGTGCAAGCGGTCAGTATCACCTGGACTTTTGAAAACAGCTTAGCCTTGCCTACCTGCTCTTTAGAACCTCTGCTAAATTTGCCACTATTCCCAGCGCACACGTGAAAGGAGCCCGGAGCGGGAAGGCATTTGTCCGAGGTTGATGGTATTTTTTTCCCACACGCGTGGAGGTAATTCTTTTTTTTTTTTTTTTAAATTTTTTTCAACGTTTATTTATTTTTTTGAGACAGAGAGAGAGCATGAACGGGGGAGGGGCAGAGAGAGAGAGGGAGACACAAAATCGGAAACAGGCTCCAGGCTCCGAGCCATCAGCCCAGAGCCTGATGCGGGGCTCGAACTCACGGACCGCGAGATCGTGACCTGGCTGAAGTCAGATGCTTAACCGACTGCGCCACCCAGGCGCCCCAACGCGTGGAGGTAATTCTATTGAGCCCTGGTTGAGCCCCCATCAGTCGCTGGGCACTGTTCGTATGGTGCCTTTCAGAACCTCGGGAACAAGGGATTGGACCTTGTATTAGTTACCTATTGCTGTCGCAACAAATTACAACAGATCTAGTGGCTTTTTTGTTAATTTTTTTTAATGTTTATTTATTTTTGAGACAGAGAGAGACAGAGCATGAACGGGGGAGGGGCAGAGAGAGAGGGAGACACAGAATCGGAAGCAGGCTCCAGGCTCCGAGCTGTCAGCACAGAGCCCGACGCGGGGCTCGAACTCACGGACCGTGAGATCGTGACCTGAGCCGAAGTCAGACGCCCAACCGACTGAGCCACCCAGGCGCCCCCAGATCTAGTGGCTTTAAACAACACAGCTTTGTAACAGTCTTACAGTTCGGAGGTCAGAAGTCTGACATGGGTTCTGGGTCTCCTCCGTGCAGACCAATGTCATGACAGCGGGTTAGGATGAGCGAGTGACTGGAGGTCAATGACAATATCAAACCACCAGATTTCAGAGTTGGAGGGTGTAAAGTGAGTGAACTATTAAGTCCTTTGCTCTTTTTTAACTCATTTCTGCTTCACTTTTAACAATTCTGTTGCTTCAATGAACTTTCATGGAGTGAAATTTAACTTTCAAAAAATATATGTTAGGCTTAAAATAGCTGCCTCTCTAGTCTTCCCTCCACATCGAGGAAAGAAATTGCTAGAAGGTTAAGGATGACTCCAGAAAAGAGACTGATCCAGCCGGCAGGACACGACCACCCCTGTTCATGGAGACACCGAACACCAGTTCAACCTATGAACTAGAAATTACAGACTTCTGAAGTGAAAGGCCCATGGCACCGTCCGTGTCTCTCCAAGTGTCAAAGACAAATGGGGTACTGGTAAAAAGTGTAGATTCTCGGGCCCCCCTCCAGCCCCTTTGAGTGGGGGTTGGGACCCAGGACTGTGGGTTTGTCACAAGAACCCCAAGCGCTTCTTAGGTATAGTGAAACTGGGACACTACTGGTTGTAGACTTAATTTCCCTTTTTCCTAATATATAACATTTTTAGGGGATCGTTCATATACGATGCAGTTCACTCGCTCACAGTGTACAATTCAGTGGCTTTTAGTGTATTCAGAAAGTTGTTTAACCATGGCCACAGTCCATGTTAGAACATTTCCATCACCCCAGAGACCATCCCCACCAGCAAACGACGCCTCCTCATTCTCTCACTGTCCTCCTTCCCACCCCTAGCCCACCACACATCTGTGTCCGTGGATGGATTTTTCTACTCTATAGATTTTCCAGTCGCTAGGTCATTTTATTTTATTTTATTTTTTAATTTAAATTCATTTAAAATTTTTTATTTAGGCTCCCCACATGGAGCCCAATACAGGGCTTGAACTCATGACCTTGAGATCAAGACCTGAGCTGGGGGGCACCTGGGTGGCTCAGTCGGTTGAGCGACTGACTTTGACTCAGGTCATGATCTCACAGTTTGTGACATTGAGCCCCGCACTGGGCTCTCTGCTGGCAGTGTGGAACCTGCTTCAGACTCTCTGTTTCCCTCTCTCGCTGCCCCTACCCTGCTCACAGCCTGTCTCTCTAAAAAATAAATAAACATTGGGGCGCCTGGGTGGCTCAGTCGGTTGAGCGTCCGGCTTCGGCTCAGGTCACGATCTCGCGGTCCGTGGGTTCGTGCCCCGTGTCCGGCTCTGTGCTGACAGCTCAGAGCCTGGAGCCTGTTTCAGATTCTGTGTCTCCCTCTTTCTCTGACCCTCCCCTGTTCATGCTGTCTGTCTCAGAAATAAATAAATGTTTAAAAAAAATTAAATACATAAACAAAAACAAAAACAAAAAAACAGAAGACCTGCGCTGAGATCAAGAGTCAGATGCTTGGGGCTCCTGGATGGCTCAGTCTGTTAAGCATCCCACTCTTTTTGTTTTGTTTTGTTTTGTTTTTACATTTTTAAAAATTCATTTTTGATAGAGACAGAGCACAAGTGGGGTAGGGGCAGGTAGCTGTCAGCACAGAGCCTGACACGGGGCTCAAACCCATGGACCGTGAGATCATGACCTGAGCTGAAGTCAGAGGCTTAACCGACTGAGCCACCCAGGCGCTCCTGTAACACGTTTTTGTTTTTTGTTTTTTGTTTTTTAATGTTTATTTATTTTTGAGACAGAGAGAGACAGAGCATGAATGGAAGAGGGGCAGAGAGAGAGGGAGACACAGAATCGGAAGCAGGCTCCAGGCTCCGAGCCGTCAGCCCAGAGCCCAACGCGGGGCTCGAACTCACGGACGGCGAGATCGTGACCTGAGCCAAAGTCGGACGCCCAACCGACTGAGCCACCCAGGCGCCCCCGTAACACGTTTTTTAAATTGACCAATAACATCCGTTGTACGCAGACGACGTTTTATTTCTCCATTCATCTGTTGGTGGGTGTTTGAGTTGTTGCCACTCCTTGATGACTATGAATAACACTGCTGTGAACGTTTGGTACGGGTTTGTGTGCGGGCGATTGTCTCCACTTCCCTCGGGCACGTACTTCGCGGGGAGTTGCCGGGTCACGCGGGAACGTTGTGCCTACCCTTCGGGGGAGGTGCCAGGATGCCCACCTGGCTCTGCTGGCGGCGTCCCCGCCAGCGGTGGAGGGGGCTCCCAGTTTCTCCCCCTGCTCACCCACACGTGTCATGGTCTGCTTTGTGTGTGTGCCTTCTATTTTTTCCATCCTGGTGGTGGAAACGAGTATCCCGTGGTGGATTCGTTCCGTGTTTTCCTCCTGACCAGTGACGCCGAGCATCTCATAGGCTTACTCGCCATCTGCCTCCCTTCTTTGGAGAAGGGCTTATTCAGAGCCTTTGCCCATCTTTAAATTGGGTTATTTGCCTTTTTGCTACTGAGTTGTAAGAGTTCTTTGTAAATTCTGGATACAGTTCCTTCGGCAGAGATGTGATTTGCAACAATTTTTTCCCCCTCTCTGGGTGGTCGTCCAACTTCCTTGATGGCGTCCTGTAAGGCACGAAAGTTTTACATTTTGATGAAGTCCATTTTATCTGTTTGTTCTATTTTTTTTTAAGTTTATTTGTTTATTTTGAGAGAGAGAGAGCAAGGGAGGGACAGAGAGAGGGAGAGAGAGAATCCCATGCAGACAGCACAGAGCCTGACGCGGGGCTCAATCCCATGAACTGTGAGATCATGACCTGAGAAATCAAGAAATCAAGAAGTCAGATGCTCAACGTACTGAGCCACCCGGGTGCCCCTTCTATCTCTTTTTTTTTTTTTTAAGAGTATTTTAGGGTTAATTTTTGTATATGCTGTGAGGAAGGGGTCCACCCCTGTGGGGTTTCATCCGCACACCAGGGGGAGCCGGGGAACCACAGAGGTGGGCTGGCTCCAGAGGGACACGCCCTGAAACCAATCAGTGTGTGGGGACAGGAGCGCCTGTGGCGGGGCTTCCCCCTGCGACCTTTCTCTGCCAGAGCTGCCCTCCCAGGGGAGGCGTTGGTGGTGTCCTTTCTGAAGCCGGTCCCCACGTTCCTCCAGGACTGCCGTGTCACCCTGTGGGACAGCACGGGCAGGGCAGGGGCAGGACTGCACTGGAGGAGCAGAGGCCAGCGCGTCCCAGGGCTGAACCGGGGGCAGGAGGGAGAAGCAGACACTGATCCCAGGGGTACCTGTGGTCAGGTGACCCGTTACCAGGCAGATTGCCCTGAGGGACCGGGATGGAACTTGTAGGGAGCAAGGCACCCCAACCCCTCTTTGGCATCACACCTCTGACTCCTCTCATGGATGGGGTCTTGGGACACTTTGGAATACTGGCCCTGGCGCCGTCGCGTCATATGTATTGGGAGGGGTCCCAGGAAACAGAACTGCAACCCTGGTGGGATAAACGGGGCGGGGCAGGGGCGTGGGCAGGGAGGTGTCTGTGATCCTTGCCATCGCCTGGGTCCTGAGATGGGGAGGTGAGATGTCTGCTAAGGATGCGGTCTTCTTTCTGTGCTAACACTGTAAACGGAGAAAGACCCCACCATCTGCCCACGCGGTCACCCCAGCAGACAAAACGGCCACTGCATCTGAGCTGATGCACCGGGGCCCTGTTTCCAGGCCAGCCCTGCCCTGCTGTCGGCCCCTGTGATACGGCTTTTCTGCTTCTCCAGCCGGAGTCTGGGGAGCCCTCAGTGACTGTGGATTCCGCAGACGCCTCTGCAGCCCTGTCCCCTCCCCTAGCTGAGGCAGCACCACCACCAGCTCAGGCTCAAGGTCGCTGCCCTCCTGGGGCCCTGGCATCTCCTGAGTGCCGGGGTGGTCCAGGGCCTCCCGCCCGGGATGGGGGACGGATCCAGTTGGGAGTCCAGAGAGCCCTGGCCCCCGTCTCCCTGGGACACGCTGTCGGGATGAGGGCCACCGGGCATTCTGAGAGGGTCTGTGACCCGAGCCCATGTCCCAAGTGCTGGCCTCCGATGCTTGGTGCTCAGGAAGGCCGGGATGTTACCCTGGCTGAGGCACAGCAGGTACTGTGTGGGGACGGGCTCCGGATCCGCCTCGACCAGACTCCCGGCTCTGCACGTCATGGTCGTGTTGGCCGTCCTGGAATGCCTCAGTGTCCTCATCTGTAAATCGGGTCAATAAGAATGATCGACTTTCATAACACGGGGCCAAGTGAAATGGGGACACCCGGGAAACCACATCACAGCCTGCTCAGCACCCACGGGCCTCTGTTCGTACGAGCTCACGGTACTCTGTGCCTCAGGGGTCCCAACAGGCCCCGAGAGCCCTGCATTTGGCACATTTTTCAGGTGGGAAAGTGGAGTTTGGGTAGGCGAGGTGACAGACCCAAGGCTGCCCAAGAGAGGGAGAGGCCCAGGTTCTCCAGCTCCGTGCGGGCCCCTCCCCAGCTTTTCAGCCCTGGGGGTCCCGAGGCAGCCCCGTCTGCCTCGACCTCCACCCCAGATCCATTTTCCTGAGCCCCCGGCCCAGGGGTGCCTCCACTGATGGATTTTGCCTCCTTTCTTAGGACGCAGCCCCTGGACTGCCAGGTTCCCTACCCGGGAGGAGGAGGAAGAGGAGAAATCCGTCTGCTGGGGCCTGAGCGTGGCCTGGGGGACCGACCGTCGTCCCAGGATGCCCCTGCCCGAGCCCAGCGAGCAGGAGAGTGAGAGTGTGAAGGCTGGCCAGGAGCCGTCCCCCGAGTCCTCTGAGCCAGGGACCGATGTCGTCCCCGCGGCCCCCAGGAAGCCCAGGAAGTTCTCCAAACTGGTCCTGCTGACAGCCTCTAAGGACAGTGCCAAGGTGGCAGGGGCCAAGCGCAAAGGAGTCCACTGCATCATGTCCCTGGGGGTGCCAGGCCCCGCCACCCTCGCTAAAGCCCTCCTCAAGATCCATCCTGAGGCTCAGAGGGCCATTGAGGCGCCCCCCCAGGAGCCTGAGCAGAAACGCAGCAAGCTGGACACAGGTGAGGCCCTGGTCCCGAGCTCAGAGTGAGCAAGACCTCCCCGGGGCTGGAAGTCCCCTGACCACCTGGGAGCCTGGGGGACGGCTGGGCGTGGCCGGCTCTGGAGAGCGTGCACGCTTCTGTGCATGTGTGTGTGTCCTGTCCACGTCTCTGCGTGAATCTTGCATGTATGTGGATGTCCATGCACGTTGTGCTTGTCTAAGGTTCTGCGTATGTGTGGATTTGCCTGGGAGGGTAAATTTGTGTGTCCCTCCGGGTATATTTGTGTGCGTCTTTGTGTGTCTGTGTCCTGGGCCTATTTCTGTCCATATCTGCTCTTAGGTGTTTGTGTCTGGGGGCTGGGGGCACACGTTTCTGTGCCAGAGTCTATTTGAGGCCCCGGGCAGGACCCCCACCGCCCACCCAGCTTAGTACAGGTGACCCTGGAACGTGGGTGCCTTCTCTGAGCGTGGAATCCTGAGAGACGCTCAAGGGAAGGGTTGCCCAGTGGCTGGGGAAGAGATGAGCCGGGGCCAATTGGAGGGTGGTCTGCTGTGTCCGGAGAAGACGGGGACGAGCCACGGTGGCTGGCCTCCACTTGCTGCCTATGAACAGGTGCCACCCCTGCCCCGGAGCACGCCCAGGTCTTTGGCCTGTCAGCCGGTCCTGGGAAGGGGAGGAGGCTCCTGGTTAGCTGGGCAGTGCAGGGAACCCCATTCACTGATGGAAATTTAGGAATGAGTGGCCCGAATGCATAGGGGAGGGACCCCACTGCTTCCCCTCGAGCTGAGATGCCAGTGCACCTGTGACAGGGGCATCCCCCGCAACAGGCCTGGAGTTTCAGGGGACCCAAGGGACACCTCAGCTCGCATTGCCTGCTGGACGGGGGCTGAACTCAGGAGTTAGGGGACCCCACCCCCCGGAGCTTGGAGGCCCCTCTGTGGCGTGTCCAGCTCACCCTTGTGTGTTTCCACCAGCCAGTCCTGTCCCAAGGACTCCCCCCATGTCTGTCTGCTCTCCAGGGGGTGGAGAGTGCCATCCCCATGACCTGTGAAGAGGCGGGGCTTTGGGAGCTAAATCTTGAGGCCACCAGCTGGTCACTGCAGAGGATGAGCAGGGAGGATCTGGCTCAGAGCCTGTCACTGAGCTGGGTGGTCCCTTACACCCATACGAGACCCCTGCCCACTCCTCAGATCTGCCTGGGCTCTGGGACCATGTGGCCCCCACCCCCCACGGCCCCTTGGTGACAGAACAAAGCCACCCTTCCTCAGATGGAGGGCTGGAGAGCAGAGCAAGGGCTATGTCTCAGGCTCCCCTAGTCAGGCACTCTTGGGCAGTGAACAACCCCCTCAACCTGCCACCCTGTGTTTTCTACACCTGGGCCACAGACTTCTCCATCTCTTAGCCCATCCCAGGCTGGGCGGTGGGGACAGTAGTGGGTTCCTGGAGCTCAGCCCTGATCTGGCCTGAAGTTCCCCGGAAATGACTCTAACAGCCTTTGTGGCCCTGGGCTGGTGGCCTTGGGGAGCATGTCTCTGGAATCAGCAATGATTTCTGTAAGTCAGCCAGTGGCACCTCAAGAACATCCCCCTGGCTGGGCTGAGAGATTCAGGCTCCGGGTTGTCCCCTCCCTTTTCCTGTGACACCAGCCTGACTCACTCTATCTCTTCTAGATGGAAAAGAAGCCGGAAGGTTGGCAGGGCAACCTGCCCCCAGCACGGAGGTGGTCGGGGAGGAGTCCACCGCAGACGCCATCGTGCCCGGCACGGTCCTGTAACCCTGACAAGCGCGGGTGCGCCCTTACTGGGTCAGTGAACTTGGCTGTGACCTCTGCCTGGGACCCAGTTGCCAACTGATTTTCATTCTCAAACACCATGTAATTTTTTTCAAATCAAGCATACATTACTTTTGTAAGCAGAAAGAAACCCAAAAAGAATAAAAGAAGCTATAAGCCAGGTCCCATTATGGACAGGTTTTAAAACCTTCCATGATTTCGGGTCCTTTGAGACCCAACTGGGACCCCACCAGCCCTCATCTGGTCCTTCCCCAGGGGCTGCCTGGCCTGGGCGGTCTCCCAGACCCCCTGACCCCTCAGCCTGGGGAACCACCAATGACTAGGTGGGGTCTTTGAGCATTCTCCTTCCTGCTGCTCTTGGCCTGAAAGGGAGCAGTGGGACCCCCTGCTCTGAGCCCCAGGGAAGCCCATCCAGCCCTTTCCCGACCGTCCCTCCAGGACTTGTTCCCAGAAGGCCTCAGCCTGCTCCTTCTGGACCATCAGGAGGCTAGCCTCTTCCAGGTGGCCACACGGACTGACAGCTTTCCTCCACCCCGCATGGGGGACCTGTGTTCATGGCTACCCAGGGTTCTGCTGAGGAAGGGGTGGGCCTGCGGGATGGGGGGGGACCCCGACAGAAGTGTAAGATGGCCCCATTGTGTTCCTTCTGGGTGTTTCGGAGCTCAGATTCCCGGGGACCTCAGCCCCTCCCCCGGCACCTTGGGTGCCACACCCCCCGGAGGAGGAAGTGAAGGAACGCACGGGTACCCCCCTGCAAGCGGAAGTCAGGGTTCCCCGGAGGCCCCCCCGACAGGAAAGGCTTCAGCCTTGCGTTGCTTCCCCACACGTGGTCCTCATTTTTTTGAAAACTGCCATTGGGCAAAGGACACAGATCATTTCTAAGAGTTGAGTCTAGAGGCCTTATGTTTTTAAACCTCATTTTCCCAAACGTAACCTGGATCTGCAGACCCCTCCGAGGAAAAGTGAGTTACTCCGCGAGTCCCCTCGCGCAGCTCCATTTCGCTCCCTCCTTTTACAGCCGGTTGTTTGTAACATTCATGTTCTGGAAGCGTCGTTTTTAAAGTTCCTTTGTCTTGGCTCTGTGTCTAAATAGATCGCCGTTCCTCACCACGGTTTTTCTTTTCTGAGGTTACGCGTCATCCCCTGGGTGTGTGAGGTCACAAGGACACCAGAGGCGTTGGGGGAGTAGCACCTGGGAAGCAGGGCGGGCAGGGGGCGTGAGGAGAGGGGGCAGGCAAGGTGCGGCTTGGTCTGCTCCGCGCTGTACCCGCCCGGACGACGGAGAGGACGGACCCGGCCGTGCACCGGGCAGGGTTGCCGGTAGGCGTCCACTCCCCCGGCGCTGGTGTGTCCCCGTCAGCCCTCCTGCCGCTGCCTTGGACGCCGCGGGCGGTGCCAGGTGCTAAGGGGTCCCCTGCGAGTGGGGCCTGGTGGACTCCTGAGTGCGCCTCCCCCTTGTGGCCCGTCGTGCTGGGTGCCGGTCATCTGTGTGCAGGGTAGTTGGTCCCATGGGCGGGAAGCCACCGCCCAGCCCAGCCGGGAGCCCACACACCCGGTCCAGCCCTGTCAAGGTCGTCTTCCCGTATTTACTTTGAAACCTTTCAAATTCGCACAGGAGCAGCATGGGCAACACCAGCTTCACCCTCTCCCCACCCTGTTCCTGCCCCCTGACCTTCTCCCCTTGCTTCTCCCTCCTGCCACTTACTTGACCCTTCACTTCTTGAGGACCTTAATGTCCGGCCCTGGGATCTAGCGGTGAACGGGTCACAGTCTGGGCCTCCCTGCCCTGAGTTTGACGGGAAACTCAGAACTCCCTGACAATGAGTCCGTGAAAACTGGGGCTGAGGCCGGACCAGGAGTAGGCCCCGTGCTCCTCGGATATGAGGGGGGGGGGGGATACGACTGGGGAGGGTATATGATATGACAAGGGCGCGAGCCCACACTGCTCAGGGAGGGAACCCCGAGGAAGCCCCATGGAGGGAGCCAGTGGGCCAGGACGGAGCAGGGCAAGAAGGCCAGCAAAGTGGGAATGGTGGGCAGTGGCTCAGGATCTGGGGACCCAAAGGCCACAGGGAGGATTCCAGGCTCCTCATCGGGAGCCGGGGGCAGGGGAAGGATTTATGCAGAGGAGGGACACAGCCAGCAGGCCAGCATCGTCGTACAAAGCCCACAGGCACCGTGAGGGGAACGGGCTGGAAGTGTCCAAACTGCACTGTCCCAGCGCTCTCCACCACCCCCCGGGGGAGAGGAGACACGGGAAATGGGGAGTGCGGGCAGGAGGCTGAGACTGGCTCAGTGACAGGCTGTCCCACCTGGGAAGGACAGCGCCACTACCAGGAGGAGAATCCTTGCGTTGCTGTGAAAAGAGTCGTTCCCTCGAGTGTTAGACCGGGAAATCCTCAGAGGTCACACACCGATACCAACTCTCCGTCTCTGTGCTCCGGACGGGCGGGCATTAATTATAATGAGGATCAAGACTGAAGAATATGACTATACACTTCCTTAAAAAAATAAGGGGGGGGGGGGGGCGCCAAGCGGGGAAAAAAAGATAATTCATGGTGATTAAATACATACTGGTTATGAGGAAATATTACAAATATCTTCAGTAATTCCACCATCTAGAGAGATGTCTAATATTTTTTGTATTCAGAAAATTGGGATGATGCAGTTCACATTTTTTTCTTGATATACTGCAAACTCTCCCACACCGGCTTACCGGCTGCAGCATACCACCGCAGCGACGGGACGTCCTTTATCCCACCGGGCCGGTGCCGCCCAGTCGCGTCCAGCCTGTCGACAATCCTTAAGTAGCCCCGGGTTTTCCCGGGACGAAGCTCTAAAAGGGAGATTGCTGCTCCCGGGGAGGACCGGCAACTATCGTCCTCCCCACGGCCTGTTTGGGCCCCCGCTCAGAGGCGTCCGTGCCGACCGACACCGGGGCTGTCACCGAGAAAATGGTAATAATAATAATAGCGACAGCAGCAGCGGCACCGTCCGCTTCTCTCCTGTGAGCGCAGCCTCTGCGCGCTCGCGCGGGCGGAGGGCAGGTTCCAGCCCGCCCACACCCGGGGCTGAGGCGGCCGGCGGCCGGGAGGGGGCGCGCGCGGCTCGGCGGCTCGGGTCCCGGCGCCTCCCCCGCGTGGGGACACAGCACCCGCTCTCACCCGCCTTCTGCAGGGGTGGGCGCCGGCGATCCCGCGGGGAGGGTTCCCCTGGAGGCACCTGCAGCGCCCCCCATCCCGTTGCATTTCCCCATTACAAGCACCGCCCGGAACCGCCCACGCAACTCCTTGTTCGTACCCCCCCGCTTCTCGCCGGCTCCCCCAGACACCCGAGCACGGGTCTCTGTGGATTCGGGTCCCGGAGACGTCCGGGGTGGACAACTGGGAGGGGAGCGCGCGGAGAGGGGCAGGGAGGCGGAGGACGGGCGGGTCCCACGCGACCTGCACCTGCACCTGCCGGGAGCCGGGAGTGGGGGAGGGGACCACTTCCAGCAGCAGCTTTAGAGCGACGGGAGGGAGGCGCAGGGGAGCGGGTGTCAGCGCCGCGTGGGGTTTTCTAGAGAGGAGCAGCGTCTTCCCTCTGCCAAGGCTGAGGCCGCGCGGCCGGAAGACGGGGCTGCGACCCGGCGAAGGAGAGCGGGCGGACGGAGGGGTCTCCGCGGGGCTGGGGAGGCTCGCGGTGAGCCGAGGGCCCGGGGCGCCGTGCGGGAGTGGAGGCGGGGGCGTCCCCGCGCCTGGGCCAGGTGAGGGGCCTGGGGCCGCTCCGGCCGTCACTCGCCAAGTGTCTCGGAAAGCAGCGCCCCGGCCCGCAGCTCCCCGCTGTGATCCGGGACCCCACCGCACAGGGTGGTCGGAGAAGGACAAGCGTCCAGGGGCTGTGGGCTGGGTCGGGCGGCTGGACCGAAAGGTAAGGGAGGGACCAGTGGGCGAAGCAGTGACGGAGGGGCGAGGGAGGAGGGGCGGGAGAGGCGGGGAGGAGGGGCTGGTGGGCGAGGGAGGAGGAGTCGGTGAGCGAGGGAGGGGCGGGTGCGGGGGGGAGGGATTGAGGGGCGAGGGAGGAGGGGCCGGCGGGCGAGGGAAGGGCGGGTGCGGGAGGGAGGGATGGGGGGGCGGGGGGGGGCGGGAGGGGGGGCCCGGGGGTGGGGGGGGGGGGCGCGGGGGGGGGGGGGGGCGAGGGAGGCCAGAATGAATGCCAAAGGGTTAATGAATTTTTCTGTCATTTTATGTTGGCATAATTTCACACCTACAGGAAAGCGGCAAGAGTGCAAAAGCATTCCTATATGCTCTTCACCCAGATTTCCCAAAAGTTAGGAATGAAACCAGCCACACTCAGCGGCAGTATTGATAACAGCGAAATTTAGAAATTCAGTGTCCACCAAGAAAATAACTAAATTGTGTAGCTAATCATATGTAAAATAAGCCTACAATATAGGCGGTGTTTGCACTACAGAGTTAAGTGGAAAGGCAGCGACATGAAAATAATTGCTGTGGAGTGTTTTCTCACGGATGCAAAGTTTAAAACATTCATTTTCAAAAGAGTGGAAGGAAAGATAACAACTGAAAACTCAAGGGACCCAGAACCGCCAAACTCATCCTGAAAAAGAACAAAGCTGGAGAACTCACAGTCTCGGGTTTCAAGACTTACTACGAAAGAACAATAAGACAATATGGTACTGGTGTAAACAGAGCCATAAACCAGTGAAGTAAAATTGAGAGTCCAGAAATAAACCCTCAAATTTATGGTCAACTAATTTTCACCAAGAGTGCCAAAATAACTAAGTGGGGGGAACAATAGTCTTTTTTTCCACAAATGGTACCGGGGCAGGGGAAGGGGGAGGGGGGAGGGCTGGGTGGCTCAGTCTGTTGGGCATCTGATTCTTGGTTTCAGCTCGGGTCATGATTTCTGGGCCACGGGTTTGAGCCCTGCATTGCGGGCTCTGCGCTGACAGTGTGGAGCCTGCTTGGGATTCTCTCCCTCTCCCTCTGCCCCACTCCCACTTTCTCTCTCTCTAAAATTAAAAGAAAAAAGAGCCTTTAATGCTTCAAAGCACATCATCTCTCAACTGTGGGCAGTCAAGTGAGGACAACCTACAAAACAGGACAAAGTTTTTGCCTGTATACCTAGACTATATAAAGAATTCTTAGGCTTAATAATAAAATGACAACCCGAGTTTAAATTGGCTAAGATCTGATAGACATTTCTCCAAAGAAGCTATGCAAATGACAAGCATGTGAGAAAAGGCTCCACATCGTCCATCATCAGGAACATGCAAATCAAAACCACGAGATAGATTTCATTTCTACTAGCATGGCTCTGCTCAGAAAGACAGATCGATAACAAGCATTGCCGAGGATAGACAGAAATTGAAATCCTCATCCACTGCTGGTGGGAATGTGAAATGGGGCAGCCACTGTGGAAAACGGTCTGGCAGTTCCTCAAACGGTTAAAGAGATACCACATGACCCAGCCATTCCATTCCTAGGTGGACACCCCAAAGAACTGAAGGCGTATGTCCACACAGAAACTTGTACATAAATGCTCATGGCGGCGGTAGGCATAGGAGCCCGGAAGTGGAAACTACCCAAATGGCCATCAACGGATTAATGGGTAAAAACAGAAACAACCCCCCAACACGGATGAATGGATATACAAATTGTAATCTGCGTACACGGTACAATATTCTTTGCCCATGAAAAAAAGCAAAACGCTTCCACAAGCTGCAACGAGGATGAACTTTGAAAACACTATACTAACTGAAAGAAGCCAGACAAAAAAACGCCACATATCGGATGATTCCATTTATATGAATGTCCAAAATAGGCAAACTACAGACAGAAAGCAGATGAATAGTTACCGAGGTGCAGGGGCGGGAAGCGGGGCAGAGAATGGGGGATTTCACAGCGATTGCTACAGGTTTCTTTCTGGAGTAAATGTTCTAAAATTGATTGTGGTGATGTGTGCACATCTTTGTGAATATACTAAAAACCACTGGAATTGTACACTTTAAATGGGTGAACTGCACTGTATGAGAATCATATCTCAATAAAGCCATTATCAAAAATGAAACAATAGTAAACCATTTATGTGTTAACTTTATGAGAAATG